GAAGTTTCATACCCTGAACAGATACAGGAGATAAAAGATTAAACTTTTGATTCAGATATTTGACATAATAAAATTCTGATAAAATAATGAACTAGAACGGTTTTAATTTTCAAAAAGAAAGAAAAGCAAGAGAAGACAAAATAAATTCAAGTATCAACTAATCAAGTGAGTTATTATAATCTACAGCATATGACTCTGGATTAGATAGAAATTTTGCTCTGAGATTTTCAGTATGTATGAAAGCACTAATTTCCCAATATTTTACTTCACCATACCAAAACAAAAACATTTGATGAGGTCAGAACTAAGAACTGTCAGATCTGAGTATCAACTCTAGCTCCTTCTTTATTCACTTTCATGGCTCCTTCATCGACCATTTACATTAGCCTTTCCCAAGATGTTTTCAGAATTCTCTTTTAATTAAATAAGCAGGGCACTAGAATTAAATCACCATTTCTCAGTATGATAGCAGTTTCAACTAATAAATCTTAATCCTGCAGGTTTCAGTCGTTGCTCTGGCAAAAATATAAAATGTCACATTTTATCCTTCTATATTGATGATGTGAACCATATTGCTTTTTCTGTTCCACAGTTATATTAATTCATAAAATAATTATGATAAAAATATAAAAGATAATTTTTTCTAGTATTTAGCTGATCTGTTTTCCCTATTATTTTGTGACATGCTTTCCAAAATTACTAAGAACTTCATTTACTTTCTGTATTTTGCACAGATTCAACCAGTACTTCCTTAATTCCTGGTACTCTGTACCAGGCACTTTCTGTATCAGTGAACAATATCTACACATTTTTTCTTCTAATGAAATTTACATTCTAATTGAACATTATTTAAAAATGAAAAATACGTTTATGCAATATATGAAAAGCGATCAGTATCATGGAATAGATTAAAGCAGAGGAAAGGGAAAACAACTCTTCAGTGCAAATCAAAAAGAAAGGTATTATGTGACATGTCTATATAGTCCCCAAAATCTCATGTGTCCATAGGAGAGGCTTTTTCAGACATGGCTGGATCTAGAATGGGTATTGGAATTGATTCATGATGTAATGCTAGGATTAAAGGAATGAGAGCTACCCACCCTAGGTAGTCTGGATAAGATATAAAGGGTAGAATTAGCTGTGGTCGTCCCTTGTTGCTTTGCTACCTTCTGCCTGCCATGCACTGTTTCTCCTCTGCAATGCCTGTCTGCCATTCACCCTGACTTGGAGCTAGCTGAGTATAGACTAAGACCTCTATAAACTGTAAATTAAATAAACTTTTTCCCTTTTAACTTTTGATATTGGGTATTTTGTCTCAGCAAAGGGAGAAAACTAAGATAGAAGGTCAGGAAACATTATGCTTAAAAAGGTAAAATTTGAAGAATAGTATAGGAATGAGGCAATTGGCCATACATACAACCTTGGATAGAATGACCCAGGCATAGGAAAAAATGAGTACAAAAGCCTCAAGCACAAGTGTGTCATGTTACTTGAGTAGCTTTAAGGAAATGGATATGAGTACAGGGAAGGTAGTAGTAGGGAGGGTAGCAGATGAAGTCAAAGATATCAGGAAGATAAACCGTGGCAGTTCTCTAAGTCATTGTGAGGACTTTGACTTGAACTTTGAATCATATGGTATTTACTCTGATCAAGCTTCCATAATAAAATACCACAGATTGGGTAGTTTAAACAACAGGAATATATTTTCTCACAGTTCTAATGGCTATAACTATGATCATTGTGAGTGCATGGTCAGTTTTTGCTGAGTCCTCTATTTCTGATTTGAAGATGACTTCTATTTTGCTATGTTCTTGCATGGAATAGAGCTTTGTGGTGACTTTCTTATAAGGTCACAGGGTTCCAGCATTAGGACCTCATTTAAAACTAAATGCTTCCAGAAGCCCATCTCCAAATGCCACCTACTATGTGGTATGAAGGTTTTTGTACCTCCAAAATTCATGCTGAAATTCTAACTTCTAAAGTGATAGCATTAGAAGGTGTGACGTTTGGCAGGTAATTAGTCCATGAAGGCTGAACCCTCATGAGAACTCTCATAAAAGAGGGCCAATAAAGACCACTTTTCCTTTCACCACAGAAGACACAGAAGAAGGTCTTATTTATGAACTAGGAATGAGGGAATCACCAATAGAATTATGTGGGAGAGAGAAAGGGAGAAGTGAAAAGTGAAGAAACACTCAAAGAACTTAAAATATGAATGAATGTAAAGAATGAAATTTCTATTAATAGAGGTTAAAAAATCTATAGATGTAGAATACTTGGGAAGGATGTAAGTAGGAGTTATATTTTAGATACATTAGCAATCCATACAAAAATAAGCCATTGGGCGGGGACAAGGGGTAAAAATGAGAACCAAGACCTGTCATGTAAAGGTACAAGATCCCAATAATGAATGTAACTGTACTGTATACCTAAAATGTACCAATAAACTCAATGAGAGAAAAAATAGGCCATTGGAAAGGCAAGCCAGAGCCAGAGATGTCAGTATTTAAAGCCTTATTATCAGGTGAACATTCTGGTTTGTAATTCCAACTACTACAAAGGAAGAAGCAGAAGGGTCACAAATTCTAGGGCAGCCTGAGTAATTTAGTGATACTTTTTCTCAAAAAAATATTCTAAAAGTTTGAGAGTGTGTCTTAGTGGTTCAGCCCTACTAGGGAGTCTTCACAATACTTCTAAAAAACAAGTCGCATCGTTATGTAATAGCTAAGGGAGTGAAGGGTTATAATGGAAAGAACTAGAAAGAATGACACTTGGGAGGCTATAATATATGACACAATATAGGTGAAGTTCAGAAAATTATGCTGAGAAGCCAACAGGACTCATACACACACACACACACATGCACACCAACACAAAAACACACATTGCATGATTCTACTCAAATGAAGTATCTAGAAAGAAAACAGATAAATGGATAGACAAAAAGTGGTATTTATACACAATGGAGTACTATTCTGCCTTTAAGAAGGATAAACTTAGATAATTTGCAGGAAAATGAATGTTCCTTGAGACCATAATGCTAAGTAAAAAAAAAAAAAAAAAGAATAGATACACGAGCTTGAGTATCACATAGTTTCTCTTATATGACATTCTCAAAATATAAATAAAGAATAAAATAAACAGAAAACAGTAAAATAGATCTTTTGCAAAAGGAAAAGACCAAGAGATAGACATGAGAGGGAGGAGAGGGAAAGAAGATAAAAAAAATTAAGATGTGGGATATACATGTACGAAATCCCCATGATGGATATCATGTACAGCAAACATGTACTAAAAGAAGACAAAACTATAGAGACAAACAGCCTATCAGCAATTGGCAGGGACATGGATGAGAGAGGGTTTCAGTGACTTTTTAAAGTGATAAAAATGTTCTAAGACTGAGTTTTTGCTGATAGTGATACAACTGTATCAGTTTAATAAAATTAATTGAAATCATTTAAAATGGGAAAATTTTATGTGATATAAGGCAGTTTATCTATGTGTAATACAACAGCTTCCCTTTCTGTTAAAATATATGTTTGAACAACTTTGCAATATATATTATTTCTGAGAAAAATCTTGTTTTTTCATAGTCTTTCCATGTTTTAACTCCTATCAGTTTGGTAAAGAATTTGTTCATCCTCTTTAGAGGCCCTCCTCCTCCTTTGTGTAATTTCTAACAATTTTTCATCTAAGCTTTCTCTTCAAACCAAAACTGCTTAATAACCAATACTGATATCATCTATATGCATTTTATAGGAGTTCTCTGAACTTGTTTTAAATTGTTGCCTTATCAGCTAAAATATTAAAATATATGTTTCTTTGAAAGAAAATAAATCTGGATTTAGATGCAGATGCTCACACTGCTCACAGAACAATTGGAATGACTAAATTAATACATGGGTACCAGGTAGTATAACTTACAAATTATTCCTAATTGTGATTTTATATGAATTTTAAAGCAACATATTTCAAAAATGCTTTCCTTTTGAAATGTGACATTTGTTTTCAATTTAAAAATTTTAAAAAGTTTCAGATGAAGATGAGAAACCATAAGAAAGTCGATGTACCGTCTTTCAATATTTTTGTTAAAATTATCTATGCTAAAATCTAAATGAGTTCTGTTACTCAACTGATTATATACGTGCAAAGACAGCTGTCCCCACTAAATTATGGAAAACTGATTATGGTACTAGAACCCTGGATACTGTTTCCAGTGGTTAACTAAGGGCTTCATTATTTGATATGTGTACTTCCTCATGTTTTCTCTCTCTTTCTCTCTCCCCTCTATCTTATTAAGTGATACTAGTTACTCTTAAATGCCATTGTAGAAAAACTATGCTGAAGTGTAAAGAGGAACTCATCTCAAATTACAGGACTTCAAACACAATGAATATAATTAGCTCTGATTTGGCAAAAGGACATATATAATTAATTTCAATACTGTTTCCTAAACCTCATGAAGTACTTATCTATTTCCCTGAATTTTACAAGCAAAATCTCATGTAGAAAAAATTGAATACTCAAAAAACACAAAGAATATTTGCTTAGAAGCACAAAGAATATTTCTTAGCAGTTTCTATTCGGGTGAGGTAAAGAACATCATAAACAACCAGATACCCACCTTTATCTTCTGAAACAAGATGCCCATTAGTATTCAGTTAACTCAACTCTGACACTCCAAACACTTTCGAAAGCTCTCATTCTTTTAGTCTATCATCTCCCTTGTGCTCTAAGCAATATATTCCTCACTGAGAGCAGGCAGATGCATTACTATGGCAGTCAACAGTTTGATGGTGACAGAACAATCTTATCACAGGAGCTCAGTCTCTCTCCAAAAGTATGAGGAGTTTATGGTCTTTAATTACTCATCTGGTACTCTGATCGATATCAAGAAAATCATGCACATTTCACCCAAAACATTCCTGTTTGTCAAGGCACTGTTTACAAGAAAGAGCACATAGTGAAAGCACAGCAATATAGAAGGGATCCTACTGTACCTGGTGAATGAGGCGGAGGAGAGCACATCAGAACAACCCCCTGGCCTTCCCTCACAGAGACTGCACTTCTTGTCCGGCCACTAAAATTTCCCAGATCTGTCAATATAACACAGCATTTAGACACAAGGAAAAAGCAATTTAAAGAATTACTATTGTTGTAAATTGTACTTAATTTTCTATCAATCTCCTAGCAAGTTTTTTTTTTAAATTTATTTTGCAGGGATAGGAAAGCCTCACCAAAATATTTATATCATTCTTTAAATATCATAAGTTAAATGAATGTATAGTAGTCAAATACATGTTAATTTATATTTACAGTACATACAAGTTGCCAGTGGAGAGAAAAAAACAGACAATACAGTATTTTAAACATATAAATACTATTTAATTCTTAATAATCTCATTCATTTTTTATTTCATTAAACCCATTCATTCATAGTGAGAAGGGAAGAAGAAGTAGCTAGGGGTGCTGCTATCTAAACTGCTATCTCATTATTTTTCATGATAAAAATAGTGTTTAATACCAAGCATGAATTTGTCAAATTAGAGACGGGTTTATTCTATCAAAATACTAAGAGGAGATGAAATGCTCTTTTTCTATAAATGCCAAAGAGAAAGTCATGTTACTTTCACTTTATGGAAGCCTAAAATGGACTCTACAAATTAATGATAACTCCTCCATTTTGATTAGTGTGAGAGTATTACAGCCATGAAAGCACTTATGTGGGTGAAGAATTGTAGCATTAAATTCAATCACCTTCCCTAAAATATGTTATATTTGCACAATTTGAAAAAAATTCTTAAAGAGAAACAAGCCCAACAATGGATATCTAACTTTATTTATGTTTCTATTATTGCTTATTAATTTACTCATAATTCATAACATATGCCCTTTCTTTTTTTCTTTGGCTAGGTTGATGAAATGCATAATGTTTTAATATAGTTTCTTTTTGTTTGTTTGTTTGGTACCAGGGATTGAACTCAGGTCCTTGCACTTGCAAGGCAGGAGGTGGAACCACTGAGCTAAATTCCCAGCCCGTTAGTATAGTTTCTTGCAAATCTTGAGTCCAATATTTTTATAACCAAACACTGTCCCAGAATTCTGGGTATGCAAATTCATTTCCATTTTGAGAAACACTTCTTTAAAATGTTTTGACTCCTTCCATTATATGCTAATTATGAGAGATTTTTTGAATTGTTTAATTATTTCATGCTAAATGTTTCATAGCAATACAAGTTATAGCCTCAAATCTAATATTTATTCACCTGACAAATAAAAAATTAATCAAGAAAATAAATTGGATGGATCAGGAGATAAATTAACATTCTTAAATATTCTAAGAGGAATACTGTACATTATTGCTTTTAAGAGAGAGGAAACAATTTACTTATTTATTGAATTTATAATCAAATCTCCCTGAATACAGCCACACTCATAGGAGACTATTAAACAGTGAAGACAGAATATCAAATACATAGTCAGAAAGGTAGTCACTGAAAAATGTTTTAGGACTTTACATATACATAATTCTAAATTTCATGGTAAGTAGGTAAGCTTTTTACAAATTAGCCCACAAATAAGAAAAATACCAGTTTCAATTCTGTTAAGGGGTTGAAGTGTGTTTAAAAACCCCACACTCTAACTTTGTAGCAAAAATCAATCTCATTCACGTTACAGTGTACATATTTCACCAAGATGACTACTTTGAGCTCTTTCACTAAGTATTGTTCACCTCATTTCAAACTTTATATGGGGTAGTACAACATATACATTTTTGAGTCTGAGGCAAACAAACATATATGACTTAAGACTTTAAATTCACACATACTGACTTTTACGCTGTATCTATTCCAGCAAGTGATCTCAACATGAAGATAAAAGATGGCTAGTTTCCTAATTGGACTTCCATTGACTTTACTCCTAGAAATCTAGCACAGGAATCATATACTAAAGCAATGGATGCGATAGGGTTTAAACACCTTTTCAGAGGTTATATGGTTTTAGGTGTTTCTTTCTTCCTCACTGAGTTTATAAACTGGATGGGTACTTGAATATTGATTTTAACTAAATTTATTAAATTATTTCTAAAATGTTTTATAGTATATTTATTATAGGTTTATATTATTCATGTTATGGCATTTCAAACCAATTATATTTAAAACAACGTTTTAATAGAAAACAATCCTAAATTAATGCTTATTTCTGAGCAAGTGAAGTAAAGCACGACTTGGAAATTAGACACACATAAAAAAGGCAACTGTGGGATAATTATGACCTGAATTGTGTTTAGAGATTATAATGACCCAAAAAGATCACATTCAGCTATAACTGCTTTATTTTGTATCAGCTGTTAATACAATTCAAAACTTTCTCATAGAATTGTCTGTGTCATTATTTCCTAGTAACTGTAGCACCAGTAATACAATAATAAATGGATACTTTCCAATTAAAAACTGACCTTTCTCACATGAAGCCATACGTAGAAATAACAGATGTTTGCACTTTCATACAGTATGTTTTTCTCACTTAATGCTTTCCTTTAAAAAAGTAAAATAGTAAAAACAGTTTTACACATAATGTAGAAGAGGTCTTTGTGTCAGCCAAGATTCTGGTTGATCTAAGGCAGAATGATTTATGTGAGAAGAGTGTTGGTTGGTGAGGAGATGGAAGCCGGAGTAAGTAAAGCAGAAAAACAGCTGGCTGTCTGTATCTCACCTACAGAAAGCAGTGGTAACAATTATCAGGGACCTTGGAAATAGCTCAGTGGGTGTCTGTGCAGTTTGGATGCTTATCATACTATTTTAATAGATTAAATATTTTATATAACAAGGACAAAAACAAAAACAATTTTTATGAGTGTGGGATCTATGTTTTTAATTTTCATGAGATCAGAAATATATCTTTATATTTTCTATTTTGGAACTTTAAGAAGAAAAATATTTAATCTAGTATGAGAAATCTAAAATTTTAATTTAAAATAAAAACTGAAATAAAAGTTTTCTTATGACAAATAGACAAGCGATGAGAGGGCAAAGTTTGTGATCAAGTAACAGAGGGGCCCAAGTCCTGTCGGACTTGACCTTTCTTTCAGTTAAGAAGCACAAGCAGCAAAGTCTTTGTAAGTAGGAAAGAGTGGAGGGGGTGAAGGGAGGCTGGGGATTGGGGAAAAATAAGAACCAAGTTACGTTATGCAAAGCTACAAGATCCCAACGATGAATGTAACTGTACTGTGTACCTAAAATGTACCAATAAATTTAATGGGGAAATAAAAGAAACACAAGCAGCATTTAAAACAGGGGCTTAACATAGAACCGCCACTTACAGAATTATTGTACCTCTTTATCTTCATGAAGCCATGTGAAGATCAAAAATGTATATAAATGCCATGGCTGCCCACATTAGATGACAATGTAGAGTCAAGATGCACGATTTCAGGCATTTTTGCCAGATATAAGACAAACCACTTCACCATTTAAGAAATGATTATTCCAAAGATAATATGGTACTAGTGATGCCAAAGAAAACCTTATAAAGATTGTAGAAACACGACTCAGTCCTAGTACTTGGGCCAGCTATCTACCTCAGTTTGTCAAAACTACCCTCATGAATAACTAGCATATTTATCCTAAAACTTGCAGACCAATGCACAGTCTTTTTCTTCTTCCCTCCCAACTTCTGTTACTGACATCTTCCCTGAGTTAATCACAGACACACACACTTTTTTTCTTCTTCCAATTTCTGTATGGTGTAGACTGGCCTCAGATGATCCTCTTTCTCAGTTTCCTGAAGTAGCTGTGAGTATCAGGTGCTTGTCACAAATACCTAACTTATAAAATTGACTATTTAAAAGGGGCCAAAACAAAAAGGCCATCATCTACAGAATTATGATTCATGTTTACTTTCTAGTAACTCAGAAAAGCAGAGCCTCATCTGATAGTAGGATCTAAGAGGGATTTCTCTTAAAAGATTGAAGTTAACACTGGCTATACAGCAGGCAGAGTCAGCTGTACAATCTAATTAGGAAGGCTTTCATCCCAAGACTCCTTAATTAGGGATAGTTGATTTTCATGTGCTCATGTGTGCACATGCAAGCACAAAGACACACACACCTGAAAAATCATGCCCTAGAAAAATTAAAGTGTTGGAGAGAAATAGAATATAGGAAATTGACAAGGAAAATGCATAGGATGATTCTGGGTAATTTTAGGTCCTTACAAACAACAAATTAGATTTTTTCCCCCTTTTGAGAGTGGTTAAGGTAGAGGATCGAGGCATATCAAAGTTAATGGATGCTTTGGATTTATATTTTCTAGTTTTAAATCTGTTGTGAGTAAGTGGCAGTGTTAGACTTGAAACTGTGTGTTTAGGAGAGGGAATCGAAGTGGCGTGCTCACTGTAATCTGTACTTAGCTATACATATATTCTGTAGAAGGTGCTAGTGATTTCTAGACAGCCAATGCTTCAGGTACTCTCAATTAATTCAAATTTAAAAACACTGTGAATACAGACATGATTAAGTTCTAAACTTCTTCATAAAACAGGGTTTGGCAAGATCATCAAAAATGGAAAAGTTACTTTATACTTTTTACAGTACTGCTGCTAATTTCTCTAACATTTGGATATAAGGTTCATTATATCCAAGAGTGAGGGAAAGAACTAGGTGCTCTTCTGGAGGGGCCACAAGCTTTATAAAAACAACTGACACATTTTCTAATATTGAATTGGAGCTGTATTGTTGCCTGCCTCACTGGCAAACTGCACAGTGAAGTCTTGCATCAGTTTTATTTGTGGCACTTATAATTATCATCAGGATTATTCAAATCAGTGTTTGATTTCTCTGTATTCTTTGTAAATTTCCTGTAGTAAAAAGTGGTCAGACTTTCTTCAGAAATCAATTTTGATAACAGAGGTGAGGGAGTGGGAAATAAAGGGAAATGGATTAAAATATGCTCAGTGTATACTATCGTACATATACCATGCCAGGCATCCTGGAAATTAGATATCAATGTCTTTGTTCTAAAGATTAGTAGCAGGTTTTCTTCTGTTTTAGTTTGCTTTTTGCCTCATATATTACTGGTGGCCTCTTTTTCGCTAG